CTTTTGTTAAATTTATTACTAATTATTTCATTTTTATGTTATAATAAATAGGATTATTTTATTGATTTCTTTTTCATATGTTAATTTTTGTATGTTGATTTTTATTCTGCAACTTTATTGAATTCATTCATTATTTCTAACATATTTTTCATGGAATCTTTGGAATACACATATAGGATAATATAATCTGAAAATATAAATAATTTCAGTTTTCCCATTCTGATTTGGATGCTTTTTCTTTTTTCTAGTCTGATTGCTTCTGTCAGTACTTCCATTACTATGATAAATAGAAGTGGCAAGAGTGGGCATCCTTGCCGTCTACCCGATCTTACTGGAAACGCTTTTTGTTTTTTCCTATTGATTATAATGTTAGTTGTGGGTGTTTCATAAATGACCTTTATTAAGTCAAAAAACTTTTTCTATACCAAAACAGTTGAGAATAAATTTCAAGAAGAAATGTTGGACTTTGTTGAACATTGTTTCCACATTAAATAAAATAATCTTGTGGCTTTTAAGTTTTACTCTATTAATGTGATGTAGCACATTGATTGATTTGCATTTGTTAAATCTGCTTCACATGACAAGGATGAATGTCACTGGATTACAATGTATAATGTTTTTGATGTGCTATTGGAATTGGTTTACTAATATTTTATTGAGGATATTTGCATCAATATTCATCAGAGACCTTGATCTGTAGATAATTTTTGTCTTGTGATGTCTTTGGCTTAGGTATCAAAGCAATTTTGGCCTCATAAAATGTGTTTGTAAGTATTTCCTCTAGTTCTATTTTCCAGAAGAATTTAAGAAGTATAGGTATTAATTTTTTTGAATGTATGTTAGAATTCAGCTGTGAAGCCATCTGGTTGTGAAAATATTTTGCAGGGAGGTTTTTTAGTACTTCTTCAATCTCTTCGTCTGTTATTGGTCCGTTCAGGCTTTCTAATTCTCTTTGACTCAATCTTGGTAGGTTGTATTTTCCTAGGAACTTATTTATTTACTCTAGGTTACCCAAGTTGTTGTAATATAATTATTATTCAGAGTCTCTTATGATCATTTTTTATTTCTGAGGTATCCAATTTTTATTACTTTTGCATTTTCTCTTTTTATCATAAACTTGCTAAGCATTTGTCAAATATCTATTTTAAAAACTCTTAGTTTTTTCTTTTTATGATTCTTCTGTTCTCAATTTAACTTATTTATATTCTGATTTTTATTATTTCCTTCCTTCTGCTAATTCTAAATTTAGTTTGTTCTACTTTTTCTAGCTTCTTAATGTGTATTGTTGGACTATTTACTTCGAACATCTTTTTAATGAGGCATTTATTGCTGTAAATTTTCATTTTGGAACTACTTTCTCTGCTTCCCATAGGTTTTGGTATATTGTATTTTCATTGTCATTTGTCTCAAGATATTTTTTTAATTTCTCTTTTGATTTATTCTTTGACATTTTGATGACTCGGGAGCATGTTTAATTTCAACCTAACTTTGCAAGCTTCTTCCTGTTATTGGTTTCCAGCTTCACAAAATTCTGGTCTGAAATGATACTAGATAATATTTAAATCTTAAGTTTGTTAAGACTTTTTTGTGGCCTAACTTATTATCTGTCCTGGAGCATTATCCATGTACATTGGAAGAAAATGTGTTCTGCTACTGTTGGATGAAATAATCTGCATATATCTACTAGGTCCATTTGATAAATAATTGAATTCAAGTCCAGTATTTCCTTATTGACTTTCAGTTTGGTTTATCTATTTATTGTTCAAAGTGGAATACTGAAGTTCCCTATTATTAATATATTGCTATCTATTTCTCTCTTCACCTTCATTACAATTCGCTTTATGTACTTAGGTGCTCCAATATTAGATACAGAAACATTTGCAGTGGTTACGTCTTCTTTATAAATTTATCACTTTATTGTTAAATAATAACCTTCTTTGTCTCTTGTGACAGCTTTTGTTTTGAAGTCTATTTTATTACGTATAAGATAATAGGCACCCCTGCCCTCTTTTAGTTACCGTTTACATGCAATATCTCTTGTCCTTCCAGTTTTCACTGTTATCCACAAAGCTTAAGTGGGTCATTTGTAGTCAGCATATAGTTGAATATTGTTTCCTTTTTTATTAATTCAGCTATTTTATGTCTTTTGATTTGAGAAATTAATCCATTTAACTTTAGTGTCATTATTGATAGGTAAGGACTTGCACAGTCATTTTGTTATTTTCTAGTTGGGTTGTAGCAGCTTTCCTCCTCTCTTGTTTCCTATCTTTGTGATATTATATTTTTCTATAGTGCTGAGCTTTGATTCCTTTTTCTTTATCATTCATACATCTGCTATAGCTTTTTGTTTTGTGGTTAATATCCAGCTTACATAAAACATTTTATAGTTATGATCTACTCTTTTAAGCTGATAACAACTTCTGTCACATAAAAAATGTTATACATTTACCATCCCCACAGCTGATGTTCACATGTCACAATTTGCATCTTTTTATATTGTATATTCCTTAACAACTTATAATACCTTTAGTTATTTTTGACTATTGTGCCTTTAACCTTTATACTAGAGATATGTATAATTTATATACCATCTTTACAGTATTGGAGTATTTTGGATTTCACTATGTAGTTATCTCTATTGGTGAGTTTTATGTTTTCATATGTATTAATGATAGTAAGTATCATCCTTTTGGTTCTGCTTGAAGAACTCCCTTAAGCATTTCTGGTGAAGCATGTCTGGTCATAATGAATTTCTTCAGCTTTTGTTTATCTATGAAAGACTATTTCTCCTTCATTTCTGAAGAATTTTCTTGGCATAGTAGTATTATTGGCAAGCATTTTTGTTTTGGTTTGGTTTAGTTTGGTTTTTGATTTTATTTTATTTTTTCGAACTTTGAATATATCATCCCATTCTCTTCTGGTCTGCAAGACTTCTGAGAAATCCACTGATAGTCTAATGAAGATTTCTTCATCTGTGACATGATGCTTTTTTCTTGCTTCTTTTAAGATTTATCTATTTGTTTTGACTTTGACAGTTTGATTATTATGTGCCTTGAAAAAAACCTCTTTGGGTTGAATCTATTTGGGAAACTTTGAGCTTCATGGATTCAGGTATCCCTTTCCTAAGACATGGAAAGTTTTCGTTGTTGTCGTTGTTGTGGTTGTTGTTTTTGCGACAGAGTCTCACTCTGTCACACAGACTGAAATGCAGTGGCGCAATCTTGGCTCACTGCAGCCTCCACCTCCTAGGTTCAAGTGATTCTTCTGCCTCAGCCTCCCAAGTAGCTTGGATTACAGGTTCCTGCCACCATGCCCAGCTAATTTTTGTACTTTCAGTGGAGACAGGTTTTCACCTTGTTGGCCAGGCTGGTCTTGAACGCCTGACCTCAAGTGATCTGCTAGTCTCAGCCTTCCAAAGTGTGGGATTACAGGCATGCGCCACCACACCCAGCCACAACAATTATTGTCTTAAATAAGGTTCTGTCCCTTTCTCTTTCTATTTTCCTCTGGAACTCCACAAATGAAAATATTTATTTGTAATCATGTCCCATAAGTCCTGTAGGCTGTCTTCCCTTTTTTATTATTTTACCTTCTTTGTGTGAGTCATTTCAAAATACTTGACTTCTAGTTAATAGATTCTTCTTGATCTAGTCTGCTGGTGAAGCTCTGTATTTTTTTCTATTTCAGTGATTAAGTAATTTATTTACGAGATTTCTCTTTGGATCTTTTTTATGATATAAAATTTTTATAATAGAAAAAACTATAAAATTTATGACATAAATTCTCTTTGTTAAGTTTTTCATTCAGGTTACAAATTTTCTGATTTTATTAAATTGTCTGTTCACATTCACTTGTATCTCACTGAGTTTCCTTAATATCATTACTTTTAATTTACTTTTAGACAATTTGCAAATTTGTATTTCTTTAGGACTAGTTACCAAATAATTATTGTGCCCCTTTGGTGATGACATGTTTTCTTGCCCTTTCCTGTCTTTCGTGTCCTTGTATTGATGTCCGTGCATCTGGTAGTGCATTCACCTTAAGAGCCTTTTATATGTTTTATATGAGATTTTCGCTTGCATATGGGCCTGAGGGTGCCAGTTTGGCAGGATATGGAAGTCTGGTTTTGTTTTCTCACAATGGGATAGTCTCCATGAAGCTTCTTCAGTTGTGATTAGTTAGTGATGAGTGTGGGTGCCTCAGTGGTCTAGGTTTCAGGAATTTGTGCCAATGACAATGGATTTACAGGTTATTAGGGCAAGGGCTCTAGGGATTCTTTTTTCTTGTCTTCCTCAATGTGCTTTAGTTTTAAATCTTATTTTTAGCAACCCATAAAACCGTATCAGTTAAAAACATTTTATACTTAACTTTGTTCATTGTAATTCACATGTTCTAATGAGCAATAAGCTTACATATCAATGTCCCTATATTGATAATGGAAACATGTATGCTTTAAACATGAGAATTTGGAAAGTTGAAGCTCTTCCGAGATTCTCACATTTTTAGAATAACATTTACAAAATTAAGCCTGAAATTATGTTAGATATTGTACTAGATTCATTTAATTTATGGTCCCAGTCAATAATTTCCTTTCCTTATATCCTATAGAATGTGAATTCACAAGTTCTTTACTTCAAGAGGTGGAGTTTCTTTTTTCTTTTTTTCATCATCTCTTGAATATAAGCTGAGCAGCATAGTATGTACTTTGACTAATGAAATGCAGCAAAAGTGAATTGTGTTATTTTAAGGTCCAGGTCTCAGAAACCTGTGTGCTACTGCTTTCATTGGATTTCTGCCTCAGACCTGAGGCCAAGTCTGGACTAGCCTGTAGGAGGATGAAAGAATTTATGGAGGAAAGCTAAATCTCGAGCATATGAACCCCGGTCAAGATCAGCAGAGCCTGTTCTACATAAGGAAAACTGCCTAGTTAACCAATAGGCTGGTGATAAATAATAAATTGTTTTATTTATAGAGTGGTTTGTTATTCAATGACAACTTACCAATACAAAGCTCTATTCTTACATGTTGATTGCATATAAATCTCTCATCCAAATGGTCCACTCCCAGAGCAGTGCCTAGGTCAAAAGATCATATAGAAAAATAAAAAATAATGTCAAAATGGCTATAATAATGTGAATGGATCTATAAAGCAGTATTTTTTTAATCTGTATTTGTCACCTATTTACCAAACTTAAATGCCACGAGGCCCCACTTACTCCAAACTTTCAACCCAATTCCAATTTACATATTTTCTTCAACCTTTACTCCTATTAATTCTGCATTATACATTCTGAAACAACTCTACAAAAAATACAAAAATTAGCAGGGTGTGGTGGTGCATGCCTGTAGTCCCAGCTACTGGGCAGAGTTAAGGTTGAAGGATCACTTGAGTCCAGGAGGTTGAGGCTGTGGTGAGCTGAGATCACACCACTGCACTCCAGCCTTGCACTCTAGCCTTGGTGACAGGGAAATATCCTGTCTCAAAAAAATAAAAAATATAAAATAAACTTATGATAACTAATAAGTTCAGCAAGGTTGACAGATACAAAACCAATATACAAATATCAATTTTATTTCTATGCACACTTACATTGAACAAACAAGCACACTTACATTGAAAATGGAATTAAGAAAGTAATTCAGTTTACAATAGTATCAAAAAATGAAATAGAAATAATATAAAAAAGAAGTGCAAAACTTGTACTCTGAAATCTACAAAACATTGTTAAAATAAATTAAACCTCTAAATAATTGGAGAAACATTCTGTATTTATGGAATCAAAACATTTAACATTGTTAAGATAGCAACACTCTCAAACTGTCTACTGCTCAACAGATTCAATGTAATCCCTATCAGTACCCCGAAAGACTTCTTTGTAGAAACACATGATGCATCTAAAATTCATATAAAATTGTAAGGGACCCAAAATAGTCAAAATGATTTTGAAAATGAGTAACAGGGTAGGAAGCCTCACACCTTCATATTTCAAAGTCTAAAACAAAGCAACAATAATCACCACAGTGTGGAACTGGCACAAGGATGTAAACCAATGGAATACAATTAAGAGTCCATAAGTAAAGCCACACATCTATGGTCAACTTTCAACAAGGGTGTCAAGACCATGCAATGAGAAAAACAATGGTGTTTTCAACAAATGATGTTTGGTTAACTGTGTAGCTACATGCAAAGGAATGAAGTCAGACCCTTAACTAACACATACACAAAAATTTTCTCAAAATAGTCAAAGACCAAAATAGAAGAACTAAAGCTATAAAACTATTACAAGAAGTCATGGGGTAAGCCTATATGATGTTGAGCTCAGCAAGGGATTATTAGATATGACATCAAAGACAGAAAAGAAGAGATAAATTTGACTTCATCCAAGTGAAAAAACCTTTTTGCTTCACAAGACACCATTAAGACAGTAAAAAAATACAACCCACAGACTGGGAGAAGTATTTGTAATTCATACATCCGATAAGGGACTTGTATCCAGAATATATAAAGAACTCTGATAACTCAATAACAAAAAGACAATCCAAATAAAAATGGGAAAAATATTCAAATAGACATTTTTTCAAGTAAGGTATAAAAATAACCCATAAGCATGTGAAAACATGCTCAACATGACTAGACATCAGGAAAATGCAAATCAAACCCACAATGAAATACCACTTCACACCCGCTAGAATGGCTAGTATAAAAAAGTCATATAATAACAAGCATTGCCTGGTGGTAATGTAAAAAACGTTGCAGTCCTTGGAAAAAAGTCTGCACTTCCTTAAATTATTAAACAGAGAGTTACTATATGATTTATCCATTCTAAGTTACATGACACTTAAAAATCATATCACTAGTTATATATCTCTATAACTCTTACATTAAGACTTATATACCTAAAAGTAATGAAAACATATATCCACATACAAATGTGAACACATATGTATATAGCAGCTTTATTTATAATAGCCAAATTGTGGAAACAGCCCAAGTGTCTATCAGTTGATGAATGAATAAACAAAAAGTTGTATATTCATATGATAAAGTGTAATTTGGGCATCAGAAAGGAATAAAGGAATTTTGGGTGCCAGGGGCAGAATGCTATGGCCTGAATATTTGAAATCAAAACTCATGTGTTGAAGCCTAATCCCTAAGTTGATGGTATTAGAAGGTAGGGCCTTTAGGTGGTGATCAAGTCATGAGGCCTCAAATCTCATAAATGGGATCAGTGCCCTTATAAAAGAGACCTCAGAGAGCTAGCTAAACCTCTCTACCATGTTAGGACACAGCAAGAAGGCACAATCTATAAGTCAGAAAGAAGACCATCACCAGACACCAAATCTGCTGCTGCCTTGGTCTTGGACTTCCCAGCCTTCAGAACTGTGAGAAATAATCTGTTGTTTACAAATAACCTAATTTACAGAACTTCATTATAAAAGCCTGTATTGACCATGAATATTGCCTATTATATAATTTTATTCAGCTGAAATGCCCAGAATAGGTAAATCTGTAGAAACAAAATCAGATTACAGTTTTCCTGAGACTGGGTAGAGGTCGATAGCTAAAGGGTACAGGTTTTCTTTTCAAAGTGATAAAAATGTTATGTAGTTGACAATGGTGATCACAGTCGCAAACATCTGTGATTATGCTAAAATTCATTATGCACTTGAATGGTCAAATCATATAGCATGTGATACATTTCAATAAAATTATCAAAAATTAAATGATGAGTTGGGTTTTTTGTTTTTTGGTTTTTTTTGAGGTGGAGTCTCGCTCTGTCGCCCACGCTGGAGCACAGGGTTTTTCTTTTTAATTGCATCATTTATTCTTGTGTGATTTTTCTTTGTAACTCCAAAGAGCAGAGTTTGAGAGTTTCTATTGATTCCACTTGGTATTTTGTGTTTTTCTTTTTAAATATTCCTGGTGACTGTGCAGTATTATTACACTGTGATTCTAACTTCCATTTTTCTGATGGCAAATAAAATAAGCCTCTCTTTTACGTTTATTGTGTAATTTTGATACTCTCTTTTTGTGAAGTGCCTGTTTAAAGCCTTTATCCATTTTTCTGTTGTATTTTTTTGCCTTTCTCTTAAAGATTCATAGAAGTTCTTTATATATTCTGAAGGCAAGACCTTTGTTTAAAACACATACTGCAAATATCTGTTTCCATTTTCTTGCTTGCTTTTACACCCTTTAGTAATGCCTTTTACTAAACAGAAATTATTTTAATATAGTCCACAACACAACATTTTTTTATGGTGAATGCTATTGATAGCCTAAGATATTTTGCCTAGACCAAGGCCATGAAGATACTCTCCCGTGTTTTCTCTTTGAAACATTAATGATTTTTTTTCGCATTTTCATGCAAATAAATATATAGCTTAAAATAGACATCAAGATTTTGTTTCCTTTTTCCATATGGGTATCCAATTAGCTCAGAATTAATTGTGAAAAAAAAGTACATCTTTTCCTCATTAAATTGCTGCAATATCTTAATCATAAATTAAATAACAATATATCTTCAGGTCTATTTCCTGGCTTCTGTTATTTTTGACTTGTAAAAGTTGTATATTTGGCAGTTGTTGGAAGCAGTAGTGTCCTACAAATATTGTTTTGGACAACGTTGATAGTATTGATCAGGTTATTTATATCTTTACAGTTTGTTTAAATTATATGTTTTTTTAATTGCTCAGAAAACAGAGTTAAACTATCTGTGAAGATTAGAATTATTCTATTTTTCCATTTATTTTTTGAAAATTTCCGCTTTGTATATTTTGATGTTATTTATTTTTCAAGTGTAAAAAATAATAAGTAAATTACCTGGGATTTTCTTCACAGGCAGGTATTGATTTGAGATTTTATTTTTAAAAATGAATACAGGACTATTTTTTCTTTTTATTTTGCAGTTTATTCTTGGGTGATTTTTTGTAACTTGTATACATTAAGATGACTGTTCATTTTATCTAAGTTGTCAAATTAATTGAAATTATTTCTTTTTATTATCATATTATGATTTTATCATCTTTAAGTTGATAATTAAGTTGTTTATAGATGCATTGCATAATTTTGCAAATTTGGGGATTTTCTAGGTTGTTTCAATGTGGTCAGAAACTATAATTTAAATTATTTCAAATCATTGCAATTGTTAAGGCTTATTTTATAAACCAGCATATTGTCAGTCTTGATGACTTTCTTATGTGCATTTGAATAAAATGTATTTTCTGTAATTGTTGGATGCAGTGTTCCATACATTCCAATTAGAACAAGTTCATTGATTTCAGTGCCCTCGTTTCACTTTTCTATTCTTACGTATGTTTTTTTCTTTTGTTCACTTTCATCTATCAGCTACTGAAGGAGATATGTTAAAGTGTCAAACTATGAATGTTGACTATCTACCCCATTTGCTTTCACAAAATTTTGCTTTACATATTTTGAAGCTCTGTTATGGGGTACATGCTGGTTTTGAATCAAAACATGTTCCTCATGGGTTGATATCTTCATCTTCCTGAAATATTCATTTTTAGGTCTAGTGGTGTTGTTTGCATATAAGTTTGAGGTAACCAATAACACTCATAAGTATACACAGTTAGGGAGAGAATTAATGAATTGGAAATTAATATTGAGATATCATGCAGAGTGTTGCACAGAAGCACTGATACTAAATATAAAAGGCAATTAAGACATATGGAGGTTGAGAGAATATTTTCTAACATAATTATCTTTTGTATGTTTTCCCCAATCCTCTATTTTTTTTTTGTATATTTCTTTTCATTCATGGATTTATCAGCTACCATATTTTCCATGTATGTAATACCCATGCATAAAAAGTCACGTTTTTGTTTTTCTATAAGAGTCATATGTCACCCAAATTCATGTTATGTATGAAACACAAACATCTCTGAAATAACGACAAATGTGGCCCAAATTGTTAAAACCCGGGCAAGGCCTATCTCATGCTTTTAACCCCACCATTTCAGACTTCCTCTTTTTACACTGTCAATTTCTCTTGATTCTTACGGGTTTTGGTACGGTTTGTAAGTTCCCAGATTCCATCAACATGAAACTACAACAAAA